TAAATAAGATGTTTAAAAATAACACGTTAAATTTAAAAAAGTGGAGCAGTGAAAAAAAATAATAAAAAATATTATTTATATAATTTTTATATTTTAAACAAATTCAATAAATCTTTTGGTTTGCTCCATAAACCATCTGTTAACGTATTAACAAAGCATAGAAGAATACGTTGTTTACTTACGACAAACCTGTCAAATTCAGTCCAAATATTAATAATAAAATATAAATAAATAACATTTGATATTTAATTTAATTAATATATAAACTAAAAAATATGTTTAAAAATAATAATTGTATTTATATGAAATTATTTTAAAACAAGAATTATTAAAAAATTTTATAAAGACTGTTCAATGTTGTCATTAATCGGATGACATTTATGACTTGTATTAAATTTTTAAACTCATTACAAATGGAATCTTTTAGTGACAGATATTTTAATTTTAATTTTTTTCATTTAATGTCTATATGTTGTTATTTTTCATTTTTTCATGCAGTTTTTAATTTAAACCTTCTTTAAATAAAAATATGATGAAACCAATACATCAGTTATGCGTAGTGTGATCCACTCCAATTCAATCGAATTCGGGACAAGGCTAAAAAAAATACCTGAAATCCGGGACTTTTCAGTGAAAATCGGGCAATTTTTTTTAACAAGAACTAGAATACTATCATTTTATTGAATATTTAACATTTTTATGTTGATAATGATATTTTTGATGGGACTAAGCCATATAATAATTATATTCTTGTTAGTTTTTGACGTTTCGACTTCCAATCCGGAAATCATTCCCAAAAAAGGAAAAATTAGAAAATCAACTGATGTTGGATTTCAATGTTAATGTAACCTTAGGTTAACATAAGAATGTAATTATCATTACAACCAATTGTGGCATAATCCCATAAAAAATATAATTGGTAAACATGCCATAAGAACAAAGCTTCAAAACATTTTAAAATCAATCCATTCATATTTTAAATTGACCTTAACGAACAAAATATATTAATACTTTGTACTGCTTATTTTTTAAAATCATATTTGTCTTGCGATGAAATTTGCTTTAACAATGGTAATAACTATTATATTTGCTTTTAATAACAAACTATTAAATTTGCAGCCACACTGCCAAGTGAATAATGTGAGCCGCACAACCAATTCCAAATCAAATTTGGATTCACCTGTGATTTTAGTTTGTATAATCGTTTTCATCGTTCTTGGCGTGTGCGTGTAAAAACACTTGCAATAAGTTGTTTCATCTGTCTTTCCTTGTCTAAGCTCGATTCGTTTACCTCCTCCAGTGGCGGAGCAAAATGTAGCATGTCAAACAAAATAATAGTTATAAAAGAGAATCATAAATTATTTTTCATTGTAATGTTCATTGTCATTTTTTTATTATAATTTATTTTTCGAAAATTATAAATTATTTTATAAATTGCGAAGAAGTATTTTTCTAGCTTGCAGTACAATAAGACAGGATATAACGAAAAGTACATTTAAAAGAATTTTGAAATATACCCAAAAAAAGTGTTAATTATTTAACCCACTTTAATTAAAAAATGATACAGATTTTTTAAGTTTTAAGCACTTTAGCGAATTTTGAACTGTTACAACGTACTGACATTGATTAATTAGCTAATCAATCAGCGTCTTCACTGGAACTGTCTTCATCATTGAAATCTTCTGCCAAATCGATGATAATCCTACTTTCATTTTCATCATATGTGACCATTTTTGACCAGTTGTCGTGAATTAATTTTTTAGTATGGTTAACACAACTCGCCCACACTGCAGGTGTTGCCTCAACTAATGCATCGCCCCAAAATTTCACTGTTTCATCTCCACGTCCATGTTCTCCAATATGACGATCATAGTATTATTTAGAAATGCCCCAGATCAACTCAATCGAATTATATTGACAGTGATATGAAGGCAATCTCAAAACCTAATGCCCATGTTCTTGGAGTTGCTCGTCTATAACGTTCCTGGTATTTTGTTGTTTATTCTGACGACAAAGACTCAATAGCTCTCTCTTGCCCGAATCGTCGTCAAAAAAAATTTTTTTTTTCGCTCGTAACCGTTCTTGTAAGTCCGATTTTTTCCAACTGGCATTCGGTAACTTTTCTATTAAAGAGCTATGGTATGAGGCATTATCCATAATAATTAGAGATGGTTTCTCCAACATTGGCATCAGCTCTTCGGAGACCCACTTTTTAAAAGACTCTTTATCCATAGAATCATGATAGTCTGCACTCTTCGATTTCGTAGAAAACAGTAATCCAGCATCTTTAACAAATCCTTGCCTACTTCAGGCATGTAAAATAACAGCGTTTACCTGTATTTTCGTATTCTTTTCTAATACTTTTCACACAGTCATCTTGACAAGTACGTTTATATGCCCCTTTTAGAAATATCCATGTTTTATCTAAAAAAATGAACTGAAGTGGGCTTGGACTTATAAAATTTCTCATATAATGCCTCAAAAAATACAGTCGTTTGGAGACAATACATGGTTTCTCACATAGCACTTGTCTACTATTTTCTAGTTTGTATGAAAACCCACAATTTTTCATAAAAGGCCACAAACTTGTATCAGAACCGTCATAGAGATACTTGTTTCTTAATTATTTATTTAGAACTTTAATTGTAACGTGCTCTCCTTTTGCTTTCATGCCATACAGTACATTTCTAATCTCTCCTTTTATAGTATCGTTGACGTCATTAGTCCTTTTTTTGTACATTACGTGACTCTCCTGGTGTAGTAAGAGCTGCTCCTGTCTTGTATTCACTATTTATTCTTGTCACTGTGCCAAGACTAATTTTCAAAGCGCCCGGTACTCGTTCATGTACCGATGATAACGAAAGCAATGGTTCGTTGTTTTCTTTTTTAATACTCCAATAAATGAACTACACATTGTCGCATTTCTCCTGTTATTGTTTGTCCCTGCATTTTTTTAATTAAATAAAACAATTAGTTATTCACAACAAAAAATAATAAGTAAAACTCTTCGGAAAAAATTCCAATAAAAAATTTATCTCAAATCCTTTATAAAAGGTATATAATAAAATGCCCAAACGGGCTATCACAAATATGTTACAAAACGTTTTTGGATTGTTCAATCCATCATCAGTGTAAACGAGGTATACATGCTATGAGCCACCAAAATATAAGGGTCAAAACCCTTTAAATGATATTAATTTACAGTTGCTTTACATTATATGTGGTTACAAATTATACCGTTGGAATTGGTAACATGGCGACTTATGACCCTACATAGGTAAAATGGTAATGAGACGAAGTATCTTCGAGGACCTGTTGATAACAACTGATCAAAATGACATTGTTGACATGTTAACAACATGTTGTTGTAACATGTTGTTGTTGTTGTCGAGTTGGTAAGTGGTAGGGCACTCTTTTATCCTAAAATTGAGAAATTGATTCCGAAGGCGAAAGAACTATAAATTAGTCAACGGCATAAGGATACAGAAAGCATAAGAGAATCACTGCATTAAAGGCCTTTTGGCACTCCTAGTTTTAACTATCGTGGCTTTAAATAATTTAAGTTAAAACATTAATGATCATGGATCTCGGAACCCAAGATCCGGCAAGAGAGGACAATCTCAAGACTGCAGGGCCTGTTAGGTCGTTAATATGCGAAATCCTTGCAAAATAGCCACATGGAACGTCAGAAGTATATTTCAGTCAGGTGAAATATATAATGCCATAAAATAAATAAAAAGAATGCAAATCAGCATCCTCGGAATAAGTGAAATGCGGTGGCCGGGATCAGGAGTATGTGATGTAGATGGATATCAAATGTACCATGCCGGAAATACCGATGCAAATCACTCAAATGGACTTGCAATCGTAGTAGCAAAACACTTAGCTCAATCAGTATTTAACTTATATCCCCATATCTGACAGAGTAATTCTAGTGGAATTTAGCTCAAAGCCGTTGTAATGTTACACCAATGTAATTCAGGTGTATGCCCCAACATCATCCAGTGATGAAGATAAATTAGAAACATTTTATAAAGATCTTGCTGATGCTCTATATCTGGTCAAAGCTCTTGTTGGCTTTGTATAAACCATCTATATATGTAAATAATACCAAACTTATGCAGTTGATAAAATCGTTTACCTTGGAGAGCAATTAAATTGTAACGCAAAAAGTAACGGCGAAATTAAATCTAGGATAGAGCAGGCTAGACCTGCTTTTAGAAGGATATCCAAGGTGGTATGTAACAGAGACCTAAAATTGGCATTGAGAATCCGTCTACTTTGCTGCTACGTTCTAGCATCATATACGCATCCAGAATTTATTAATCATTTTTTAGTGAAATAGGTCTGCAATAAGTTTATTTGAGCTATTAATAATGTTAGAAAAGTTTGTCTTTTATGTTTCCGACGAAATCTGACGTAACATTTCCTAGCTGAGTGAAAGGACAATAAATAAATCAATTAGAAAGTTGAGACAAGATGAATAAAATAAGTGGATTAGAGACGCCTAGTACATTATGACAAATAACTAGTGATTTTCCAAGGTAATGGTAGAAATTAAATTTTCGTAAAATTTTAGAAATTTTGGCGGGAGCGCCTTTATCGATTTAACTTTTGGCGAGAACGCAATTAGGTTTGTAGAAATTCTAACAATCATAATTACACGCACGTTAAATTGAATGTAAAATGTTTCAAAAGGTAATATTATTACGAATCAAATGCTATATAAGCGTAGTATTTTATTATGTTCATTCTAATTTTATTTTGCAGAGTATTTACATCATAAATTTAATATTTTGTGGCATATAATATACACATAGAGTGGCCGAACCAAAATGAAACAGAGGTATTATTAGAAACTAAGACAATATTTTTGAAACACGTTCAGAACGTCTGATACAGATTAAGAATGAGTGAGGAGTGAGAAAATTCGAGAAGTTTTGCTTCTTTCAGTAGATTTGCGAATTGCGGTATTTTTTTTAATCTCAGTAAAATTTTAGTTGTGAAAAAAATTGTATACCAAAAGTTTTGGTAACAAATCCAAAAGAACCAGTTATACTCACAGTAGAATGCAAAAAGGGTTGTGAAACTGTATTGCCCACACAATATACTTGGACTGTTGATAAAGATGATTTTCCTTACGATAAGACACGGTATGGAAGAGAAGGCACTGTATTTTTCATAGAAAAGGAAGTATTAAACGTGGATACAGCTTACGTAATATCTGTAGAGTTAAAAACTGATCTTGGTAAGTAAAATAGCTAAGTTCTTTTTAATATTTTCATTGCGTCTCATTTCGACTTTCTAACTATTTTAAAAATTATTTACTCCATGTTTATTTTTGAGACCCTAAAAAAGATGCAAGAAAAGTTTGTCATTCTTACTCCCGGGCCTTTCTCTAAAAACCCTCCTTGTAGGGGAAAAAATGAAAAAAATTTATTAAACAAGAATTGTGGTGAAAAAATGTTTTAAAAAAGAAATGTTGCTAAGATAATTTTAAACGAAAACGTTAAACCGTGGTGTTTTCTTTTTAGATTTTAGTGTTGGGTACTTTCTCTCCAACTAATTCTGTTTCTGTGGTAATTATGTTATTTTTAAGTTTTTCCCAGCTTTCCTCGATGTTATGGGTTTCTAGTTTTTTATTCCCAGTGATCTTCTCTGATATTTTTTTTTTGTATAAGTATTTCATGGATTCCATATTTAGTCCTTCGACTTTGATTTTGGTTTGTGTTGGCGCCACTCTTTTGAGTGTAAAGTATTTTAGAACGAGTCCTATTTTACATAATACATTTTAATTACAGAGATGTATATCTCTGTTCGTTATTCGTGAAGTTTATTATCAGTCGTCCATTTTTGTTTTAACATTCGCCGTCGTATCTCGTGCTTGAAAAATCTCCGACAATGGTTTGGGATGACCTCAGCGGAGCTGTTTCGCAGAGCAGTCAACAAAACCATGATAGCCTTGATGATCGCCAATATCCGGACCGGATATGGCACTGAAGAAGAAGATTCTCGTTACGTTTTGCTTAATTCCGGGTATAACTTGATTGCCTATACGAGCACTAAAATCTCCCGATATTATTATCTATCCCCTGACTTTATCTAGTACTTGTTGTTATTGGTCATAAAACGTTTTCCTTGTTCTTTGACGTTTGTTATTTTCTGAACCGTATACTCCGATGATGTTTAGGTCTTTCTTTTTCATTCTTATCTTTGCTATTACAATCCTTTTTGATTTATCAATGAGCCCATATTTGTCCACTGCTGAACGTAGGCCTCCCGTAAAATGTTCCACCTATTTTGATCTTGAGCTTCTTGCATCCAGTGTGTGGTAATGCGCTTAATATCATTCGTCCATCTAGTCGGTGGTCGTCCTCTGCTTCGATATACATCTTGCCTTGGTCGCCATTCTAGAATCTGTCTGGTCTATGGCTATTTTTTTTTCATATATTTTTTCAACAGCATCTGTGACCCTTTTCTTCTTCTTATTTCTAGGTTTGGAACTTTATCTCCGATGGTAATACCTAATATTGATCTTTCCATAACGCGTTGTGTAACTCTTATTTTATCTATTGTTCTTTTTGTCAGAGTCAGTGTTTCTGCACTATATGTAAGAACCGGTAAAACGCACTGGTTAAAGACCTTTTTTTTAAACAAACTGGGATACTAGACTTGAAAATGTTATTCAATCTACCAAAGGCAGCCCATGTGAGACCTATCCTTCTTTGTATTTCAGTTGTCTGATTATCTCGGCCTAAGCGAATCTCATGCCCTAAATATTTGTAAGCTATTACTTAGTCGATGCTATGGCTCTTAATCAGAATTTTACCGCTGACCACAAGGTCATAAATTTTGTCTTTGAAGTATTCATTTTAAGACCAATTGTTTTTGACACTTTATAGAGCGTGTGCAGCAATTTTGTAGCTTTATCAACTCTATCAGATATTAAAACGATGTCATCGGCAAATCTTAGGTGTTTCAGATCTTCCCCATTTATATTAATTCCCATATTATCCTCTCGTTCCATTTACTTGAACATATATACAAGAACAGCTGTAAACAACTTAGGGAAAATAGTATCACCCTGTATAATTCCACGTTCTATTCGTCCTTCTTGGTATTCTTCTTGGTATCTTCATGAAGGCGGACACAAGCTGTACCAGTTTCGTAAATACTTTTATTCAAGGCGATATATCGGTAGTCAATGCGGCAGTCAGCCAATGCTCGAAGCATTTTATGATGATCTATAGTATCGAACGCCTTTTCATAATCTACGAATATAAGAAAGATAGGCTTGTTATACTCTGTACACTTTTATATTAGCGTTTTTATAACTGGTAGATGATCATTTGTTCCGTATCTGAAGCAGAACCCAGCCTGTTCACAAGGTTGGTAATTATCCTGTTTGTTCAGAAACCATTTTATTATTATCGTCATGAATAGTTTGTATGTATGGGAGAGCAAACTAATAGGTTTGTAGTTCTTTAGGTCTAAAATGTCGCCTTTTTGTGCATTATGATTATTATTGCATTATGTCACTGAGGGGGGGGGGAGTTATGCCTCTTGTCAAACAAGCATTGAACATCTTTCTCCATCTTTTGTTGTAGTTTCTCCTTTTTCATTTACAAGGTTACAAATATTTTTCGATCCTTCAGTCATTTGTCGGCGTAGAACCTTTAAACTTTTATTTTTATCAATGGCTTGAGTTATGTATTCAGTGTTGTAATTTCTGACATCTTTTCGAATGGATTTTGTGATATCTTTGTTTAACTGTCTTAGTGTTACAAAATTATCTGTGTATTTGTCTTCGCACTATTTATTCGCATGTTTATTACCTCTATATCTAATGCATTTTCATTTAGATGTTCTACTTCTTTCAATTCTCAAGTTATAAGATTCTGATAAGCTACCCTAACTTCTATCGATTTCCAATTTTATTAGAATGCCTCTCTGTTATCATTGCTGTCCTCTCTCGTCTAATGTTGATCATTATTTTTGCTCTAACCAACCTACGGTCACTCCCAACAGTGATTTTATTAATTACTGTAACATCGTGGACAATATTTTTTCTGTTTGTGGTGATGAAATCAATTTCGTTTTTTGTTATGCCATCTGGACTAGCCCACGTCCACTTACGTTGTTGGTTCTTTTTGAAGAATGTGTTTATCACATAGAGCCGATGATGCAACAAAAAATTTAATAGCATACCTCCTCTATCATTTCGCTCACCGTATCCAAATGAGCCCATTCCCACTTTTGCGTTATCTTCTTTAAATCCAAGTTTAGCGTTAAAATCGCCCATTAAGATTAGGTGGTGGGTTTTATCTTTTTCTATAGCTTTATTTATATCTTCATAAATAGGTTTCGATTTCTTTATCGCTATGGCTCGTCGTGGGTGCGTATACTTGGATAATTTTAATAGAGCGTCTCTCGATCAGTTTTAATATAAGGTACACAACTCTTGAGCTTACACTCTCTATTTTTATAATTTTATCTAGGTGTTTCTTGTGCACTAGAACGCCTACGCCGCCAAGTGCCTTATCGTTTTTTTCGATGGAATGTAGCAGATGCCCTGATTTTAAAACTAATTGGTTTTCTTCGTTTCTTCGTATTTTGGAAAGTAACAATACGTCCCATTTTATGCAGTTAAGTTCTTCCTGTAATTCAATGAGCTTATCTTCAGTTGCAAGCGTTCTTACGTTATAAGTGGATATATGCAATGTTCGTTGTCCATGGTAGCCGTGTCTATCCCGATCATTCTTTGCACCCTCTGCCCTTAGTCCAATCTGGTGGCTACCGTCACCAGGGACCGTTGGGCCGCCGGGGACTAAGGGCCTTTTTCTAGTTTGTCATTTACGGGAAAAATTAGCCATTTCACTACTACGCTGGCCAGTGCGGGTTGGTAGCGGGATATATCGGAATGTGGTAAGGATTGGAAAATGGGTAGGAAGATAGGTTGGGGAGCCGGTCTCTCCTAAAGACTTGGCATAGGGGAAAGTCAGTAGCTAGCGTACGGCAGGGACGCCACTCCCTGTAGCAGCCTGTTCTTTACCGGGATCGTAGAAGAGTGCTACCCCCTACCCTACCCTTTTTGATTGTGACGTTTATATTTGAGAAGAGAGGCTAATTGTTAAGCTTACCTATTTATCTTTAAAAGTTTTATATTTCGTTAACCTTAAATCCTTTAATGCTAATTTCAATTTTGCTTTTTACAGTTTTTACATCACATCTTCCGTTCAATATATATGACAATATTTCTATATTAAAACGTTCCTATTTATTTTTTTAATTTAATAATTGTTTGTAGATGAACTAAAAGGAAAGACTGCTGTAAAAATAAACGTTCATAAACCACCGAGTTTTACCGAATGTTCTGTGAAACCTGAAAAGGGAAAAGCTTTAAGAACATATTTTGCGGTACGCTGCTCGTTTCCAAAGGGATCATACTTTTTTGAAGTTTATAGTGTGGCTAACCAAAAAGAAATTCTTCTAGACAGGAGTGTCAGACTTGGAAATATAGACTTTCTATTACCTGCCGGAGCTGACATTATGGTAAAATTAATAGATGATTATGGTTTTTCTGGGCAAAAAGTTTTGAATCCTACTGTAAGTATGTCAAAATCACCTTTATATCTTGGTATTAGTTACAGAAATACAAAACGTATACCACCATGCACAAACTTTGATATTTTAAATAAAATATTCTATCTTATTTAATTTTTTGATTTTCTGCAAAATTCCTAATATCTTTTGGGTAAAGTGCCTACTATATAAAATATGAGAAACTAAAAGTACGTGAAATTACATATACAGAGTGGCCCAAAAGTCTGGAAACGGCTAATTATCTCGTAAATTACTAGACATAATTATACAAAATTTGAGATATGCCTATTTTGGGATACGGAGATTCTATATTTGGTATTTGCAATGTTGCCAGATTTTTAGTTTCTCTTATATCACTAGTAACTTTGGTTTTTCAAATGCATCACCCTGTATGTTCAGTCATTATTGGAATCTCATATTAAATACGAGTTCAACCATATGTAACATATATGATTTTATGTAGTCTGGAAGGTCTTAAATACATAAAACAGAAGTCATAAAGCAGAATTCAGGCAGCAGAGATGAAATACCTCAGAAGAACGATCGGAGTAAAAAGAAGTGATAGAATCCGAAATAAAGAAATAAGAGAAACACTCAAAATCAAACCGATACTCGACTCAATTGGCATGGTTCGAAAATCTAATCCGGATGGACAATAATAGACAAGTAAAAAGATTGTGGGACGCCAAACCAACAGGAAAGAAGAGAAGATGTAGACTTATTAAAAAATGGAACAGTGACATCTCGCAGATACTGCAGAGTAAGGGTAAGACTTGGCAGGAAGCAACACAGATGGCATCCAATAGGAAGCAATGGAGAAAGTCCATTAAGAGCTAGGACACCTAAGAAGATTGTAAAATATTGTAATTTAATGAATTGTATTATAAACGGCCTATCACCGAAAAGTACTAATCAGTCTACTGATTAAGTAAAGTAAAGTAAAAATCTCTCTGGAAACCAGTGATTTACCGGTTATAGTATTAACAAATTTTGTTATGCCACTCTATAAATTAGAATTTAATACGATCTTCAAAAAATCAAATATTATATTTCCGAAATATTCAGATTTGCTTAAAATATATAACACGTTGTTTAACTCCATATTGACTGAACACATTAATAAAACTACCATTTAAACAGAAGGCTCTATACTAAAAAATGGGATGGTAGGGTCCGCATTCCTTTCAATGACAATTCATGTATAATATTACTTTCTTCACATTATTATACTCCATTTACACTGCAAAAGCAGTAGCTTTTAGAGTAGCTCTGGATTGGCTAGAGGACCAAACTACTGTAATCACTGTAATTTTCTGTATAATTGACCAAGCTACTGTAAATTTTCAAGATACTGTAGTCACCTCAAACTCTTAAGTCAGTTCTTACCGGACTTAATAATACTAAGTTAAACCATAAGACATGTGAGCTGATATGTGATATTAAACAAAAAGTGAGAAATAAAGATGTAACATTTATTTTGCAAAAAGTCACACCAGGACTAATAGAGCTTGCTAAGGATTCTACTTATTTCTGGTATACAGTAGACTCTCTCCCGATAACGCATCGTATTAACCGGCCCTAACCCTTCCTATTGTTTTGTGTACGAGACGATCATCAAGCACCGCGGCTTTTCCCCTGGCCGCCGACCGGTTGACAGTTTTGTTTTTGCTTTCGAGGAGGATTGAATTCGTCTTGTGCGAAAATGTGTGAGAAGCGTAAACGTGTGGTTGTGGCTATGGAAAAACCTCTAAGTATGCTTAAACGGATCGACAAAAGTGAATCGCTAAAGAAAATTTGTTTAGAGTTGAATGTGGGGAAAAGTACAGTAAATGACTGGCGAATGGATCGGCGTTCAATCGAGGATTTCTGCGCCCAAATGGAATCAGATAAAAATCTAAAAACTCGATGCACTAAAAAACGAAATTCGGGATAGTAGATAAAGCTCTTTGGTTGTGGTTCCTTTAAGAACGGCGAAGAGGCACATCTATTAGTGCCCCGATTCTAAGTGAAAAAGCTTTAGGTATATACAGCAAAATTATAGACGGAGAAGAATTTATTGAAAGTGATGGTTGGTTGACTCGCTGAAAGGCACGTCACGGAGTTATTTATGCACACGTAAGTGGAGAAAAAATGACCGCGGACGCTTCAGGTACAACTGGTTTTACCTCCAAGTTTGTAGAAATTATAAAAATGGGAAAGTAAAACCCAAAAAGTATATAACAGGAATGAAACGGGTCTCAATTTTAAAATGCTTCCAGAAAAAAAAAATTTGGGAAATCATGAAAAACCGGCTTCTGATTTTAAAAAGAATAAAGAGCGCATTACAACTTCTGTTTGTTCAAATGCAGCAGGAATACACAAAATTCCTCTTTTCGTTGTTGTTAAGTCCTCTAAACTGCGTTCATTTAGAAATTGACATACATCGTAGCTTCTCGTATTCTACAGATCACAAAAATCAACATGGATTAGTGCTGATCTATTCAAAAATGGTTTAAGCGGAAAGTTGCTCTGAGAGTAACATGCCATCTTAAGAGTGTAAATCTTTCCATTTAAGTTGTCCTACTTCTGGATAATGCTCCAACTCATCCCGGAAACTTAACATGTGAGACAGATGACATAAAAATTATCTTTCTTTCTCCTGAAGTGACAAGCTTGGTGCAACCAATGGATCAAGGGTGACTGAAATCTTGAAAAGACGATGCATACGTAAATTACTGTCTGCAATTTTACAATGCACAGAAAGTGAAGATCTCCAACTTATTGATAAAATCAAAAAAATTAACTTAAGGACGTAATTTACCTGTTAGTTTCCGCCTTCCCAAAAATTCCTGCTTCTACTTTCGTTAAGTCTTGGCGACAACTTTGAGCCAACATTTAGAAACTTGCAGAGTGTCAACAATCACACGAAGAATATAATTCTACTACACGAAGAAGATATTGAATAATGGATGAACTGTGACGAGGAACTTGAAAACGAATTCTTGACAGACCACGAAATAATTACACTAGCAACACATGAAGAGCCCTGTAAAAATAAGGAAACTGGTGATGATAATGTTGACAAAGAGGAAAAGGTCACACCGAAGCGAGGGTTGCAATGGAGGGTGGCATTGAAGTATATTGAACAACAACCTAAGTCATATTTAATAGATGTCTTGGTTTTTGAAAAATGGAGAGATATAGCGTTTAAAAATTTACTTAATGTCAAGAAACAGAAGAAATTTACCGATTTTTTTTAAACAAGTTATATATGTATTTATAACAAAATATTTATATATGTATATATGCATAGAAATAAATGGTATTTTTCAACTGTATACTCCGTAATCGTTTATTTTTCTGTACATGTGTTTGATATATATATGTATGTACTTGATTTTTTTCATAAAAATGCCTGCACATCGGATTAACCGGTTATTTGGTCAACCGAACAGGCTGTGATCACAAAGTGGCCGGTTAAGAGGGAGTCTACTGTACAAGAATATATTTTCTAATGTAATTAAATTTTATTATCAAAAATACAATTTTAACTGTTTTTTTATATATTTTAGATCTTAGATAATATTAACTAGATAATATTTAAAATTATAAATGTGTACTATAAGAAAAACGTTTAAAGTTTTAAAGTAAAAATCTGGTAAGTGATGTATTATAATTTTTAGGTAGAAGACCCTCTAATCATTGTAGATGATGTAGAAAAAATGGCATATGATATAGACCAAAGATATTTTAAGAAAAAAGATAAAACGTCACTTCTCAACCTACTACGGGCTTTCAAATATGTATATCTTTCACAGAAGCTGAGTATTTTCGCTGACGAATTGGTACTATTAGCTGACAATAAAAATATGGAACCATTGGTGGTTGAGCAGAAAATCAAAATTTTAAAACTTTTAAACAAAGTAATTAAAAATTTTATTAATATTACTTAATATTACAGATTATTATAGTCACATCATAGTCATATCATAGTATGTTAATAACAACTTTATTTATCTGTAAAATTTTATTTAAATCTATTTCTTCTTGATGTGCCGTCTTCTATCTAATGTTAACGACCACCATAAAATATGCTTCTCATGTTGGAAAACAAAGGATATTTTTGTCATCTTCGTAGCTTCATAGCTTCATAGAAAACAAGGACATTTTTATTATTTAACCTTTCGCAACTAACATAGGTTTTCTGGACATTAAAGCTAACATCAGTCTCAGAGTCGGACATAAAAAAATGTTTCCATTGACCCACTTTTAAGCGTAGAATTTCGTTTACTTCTTGAGAGAGTGAAATTAAAAAAAGATAACATCTATTTTTAATTTATTTAGCCTATTAAACATAACAAAACACCAAACCAAAAAAAAAATTCAAAACAAAAACAAGCAACTCAAATTTAATTATATCGAGCTGGTTACAGTTATATCATAGTAATTTAGATAACAAATCTGAATAACAATTCTCAATGGCATCAGTAATGAGCGGGTAATGAGCATCTAGTGGTAGCGAGCAGATACTCCCGGTAGTACTATTCTGCTACGAAATAAATCTACTTCAGGTATGCAACCCTGCCCACGCGAGCCATTGCTATCTCCCAACCCGTGATGGGAGAAGTCACGTCCTTACCCCAAGATTCCTACCAAAACAAATAAATCCTCTCACATATCCATTCCCAAGAAGTAAACTTCACATGAAAGTAAAATCATTGGAGAAGGCAACGGGAAACAACCCCTATTAACTTTTCCTAGTATAATCAGAATGGATGAAGTCAATATAGCAACGATCATTAGTTCCGGGCACCCTTTATGTGGGGACAGGGTGCTAAGAATTCCTTAGTTGCCACAAAAATTTAGATTTAAGCATTATAAGAAAATTGGTACATCCACGCCGAAGAAGTGAATAACGTAATTAAATAAATGCAAAGACTCAACATTGACATACTTGGATGCAGTGAAGTTAGATGGTCCAATTTAAGCCAGTGCGAAATAGAAAACTACACAATATACTACTGTGGAGATACTACAACCTGACACAAAAACGAAGTGGCTATAATAGTAAATAAAGAAGTTAACAAATGTGTACTTTTTTTTATAGGAATATCAAATATGGTTGTGTAACTCAAAAATATTGCTAATCCAGTTAACGTGAACATTATTCAAGCATATCCTCCAACTTTGGAAAGCTCAGAGCAAGAAATAGAAATATTTTATGAACAATTCAAAAAATCCCTAAAACATACTAAAAAACAAGAAGTGAATATCCTGCTAAAAGATTTCAATGGCAAAGTGGGCAAAGGAGGTGTTGGCAATACTGTGGGACACTTTGGACTAGGAACGCGAAATGACACGACCGCTTTGTTTAGTTCTGCCAGGAAACGGATAGTGCAATATTAAACACCTTTTTTAATTTTCACCTCAAAGAGTCTACACCTGGAATTCTCTATCTTTCTAAACTAGGACGAGGACTTTCAAAAATAAATGAATAGAAACCGGATTGACTACATCATCATCAACAAACGATTTCAGAACTACGTAAAATTCGCAAAAACATATCTGGGAGCAGATGTTCCATCAGACCATAATCTTTTTCTAGGACGTTTCAAACTCCACATGAAAAAAGTCCATAAAAGAAAAGCACAAAAAATCTCGACATCCAGAAGTTGAAAGATAAAACCACAAGAGACGAAGTCAAAGAGGAGATCAGCAACAAAATAAACAGCATGGTAATCTACGATATTAATCAACCAAACATAAGTATGAATGATATGTGGTAGTGGTAGATAATAAACTTAAACTAGAAAACAATACAATAATACAATAAAAAGAAACAGTTGTGGATGAGACAAAAAATATTAGAGCTAATGGAAGAACGAAAATAAAACACAGAAATAAGAACGAGGAAAGGTACATAAAATAAACAAAATCATTAAGAAAAAGATTAAAGAAGCAAAAGAATCATAATTACAAGATCAATGCATAGAAATGTAATCCCTAGAACAGAAGCATAACACTTTTAACCTACATAAAAAGATCAAAAAGTTATCGGAAGGAAACGGATCACGAGGTCATAACTTCAAGCACAACAATCTTCTCTACGAAAATAAGAGAATACTTGAGAGATAGAGGCAATACATGGAAGTATTATTCAAGGAAGAGTAAGATACAGAAGTCAGTATTTCTGGATGTTTAGGACCAGAAATAACGCTCAGTGAAGTAACATATGCAATAAAAAGACTAAAAACCAACAAATCATCTGGACCTGATAACATACAAGCTAAAATATTGAAACTATTTGAAAACGACCAACTCAAACTCCTAACGACTCTACTGAACAAAATCTATGAAACTGCAGAATTTCCTACAGATTGGCTAGTTTCCACTTTTATCCCTCTCCCCAAAAAGGCGAATGGCACCAGATACTCTGATTACAGAATTATAAGCTTAATCAGCCATGCACTCAAAATCCTTCTTTCTGTTATTCACTCTCGCATATATAGAAACATTGAAGAAAATATTAGCAGTATTCAGTTTAGGTTTAGAACCGGTCTGGGAACGTGAGAGGCCCTATTTTCTATACAACTATTGATACAAAGAGCTCGAGACATAAATTACGAAGTCTACGCATGCTTTATAGACTTTGAAAGTGCATTTGACAAGGTGCAACATCAAAAATTATTTCAGATACTGAAATAATTTGGTATTGATGACAAAGATTTACGCCTAATTAAAAATTTATACTTACAGCAAAGGATAACTGTACGAATTGACAACGAAACCTCACAAGAATTCACGATAAAACGGGGAGTACATAGGGCTGAATTTTGACATCGACACCAATGTTGTTCAATACTTACTCGAAAATGCTGTTTAGGAAAGATATTGATGGTTTAAGAGAAGATATAAAAATCAATGGTGAAATCATAAACCATTTAAGATATGCGGACAATACGGTTTTGATTGCTGATAATGTGGAGGATTTGCAAACATTAATAGACCGTGTAGTGGAATCCTGTGACATATATGGCATAAAATTAAACTCTAAAAACACCAAAATTCTTTTATTAAGTAAAAACCACGTAATACGGCACCAATTTAAGCTAATAATGAACCCTTGAAAATAGTCGACAAAATTACATATGTTTTGATTAATAGTCTCATTTGATTCTTGCTAAGTTATTTACTTCGTTTGCCGCCTTCTATTTCGATATCTCGTTTTGAATATATATATATATATATATATATATATATATATATATATATATATATATATATATATATGTATATATATATATATATATAATATAATATAAAATTAATGTTTCTTGGGTTTTAGGTTCAATAAAGATATGTTACATGTGGAACTAGATTTTATTTTCATTGCAACCAATCAACGTTTCGGCAGGAAACCCTTGCCTTTGTCAAGATTCTAAAATGTGTATATATATAAGGACAAACAGATATTTTAAAATATGTATATATATATATATGACTTACCAACACGTAAAACGTGACACAAACATTAACGAACTGACATATAAAAGTTGATATCTGATATCTCATTGTTTACTGTCATTAGTATATAATTATTTTTATATGGGCGTATCGTTGATGTTTTCGAAAAAGGTAAGGTGGAGATATGTTATGACTTTAAGAGCTTTTTATGATGTTATATTGTTATTGTTTAAATCAGATTGAAATATATTTTATTTAGGTTTTGTGTATCTTTTTTGTCATTTATTGCGTTGGTGTTTCTTTTTATTTCTATTGATTCTGTTTTCTGTTTCTGGTTTCCTGCCGAAACATTGATTGATTGCAATGGAAAATAAAATCTAGTTCCACATGTAACATATCTTTATTGAACCTAAACCCAAGAAACATTAATTTTATATTAAATATAATACGGTTCAAGAAACTCAAAACTACTATATATATATATATATATATATATATATATATATATATATATATATATATATATATTGAAATGATTTCAATATGTTAAAAGGATACAATTTTAAATGGATTTATATAAGAGTTTGTTGTTCATGAATTTCATGAAGCCATCACAATGTGGGGTCGACTCTGAAATAAAAGAGGGAAAAAGATTAGTAACTTGTTAAATAAATTAATTTTTACTTACCTGGTATAGTGTTAATAATTTCTGAATAGTATAGTTGCCTTGTGTATAGGTGAATCGTCTAAACCTTAAAAAAAGAAGAAGAATTCTTAAAAAATATTTAAACATAGAAATTTTAAAAAATAAATGAAGGAAATTTATTTAAAGTGTCAAGCAAGTCTGTGGGAGCTAAATTAATAGGGGTTTTGTTAAATAAGAAATTACAATGATGTGGAGATGAAAAGAATAAATTGTATTAATACAATAAGTTTTATATCTAAACATGTTTTTTATATTCCCAAATTAGATGTGATTAAAGTGATTATGAGAAATTAATGTGGCTTAACCCTAGAAAGGTGGACTATTATTTACTGACAGTTATGGTGGACTATCGTAATTTTTACGACATCTAACAAAAAATTGAAAAAAAACACAAATGTAATTATAAACACTTTTATTACAAAAAATTAGAAAAAATGTAAGCCTTAGTCAGTGGTACACAGATAAATAAAGTCGATGTACACTACTCGTTTGCACACATTGTACATATATTACCTCGGTGTTCGCCACATATAGCGTGATGGCATTGGTTGCAATATGTGGTAGTCATGCGCCTCTTTTTACTAGGACAATGGAAACATGCCTTGCGTTTCTTTTTTTCAGGTAACGGACGTTCAACTTCTTCGGAAATTTTGAGGACATCTTTAATATTTTGCTTAAGATTTCGACGTAAAGTTGGAATACACAATCGTTCTCTCAGCCAGGGTTCGGCGAGATGACGAGCCAATTCAACCA